CGTGGAGTTAATGTTCTTAGCTCTCATCCTGAAGAGATTAGATGCCAAACACCTTAAAGATTTCAGGCTGATTAGCTTGGTGACTAGCATCTATAAGATTGTGGCAAAAGTGCTTTCTTTAAGGATTAAAAAGGTCCTTCCCTCTCTCACTACTCAAGCCCAAGGAGCCTTTGTTTAAGATGGGTAGATTATAGACCAGATCCTTACAGCAAATGAATGTGTGGAGGAAATGAGGAGATCAGGCAATCAAGGCTTCATCTGTAAGTTGGACATTGAGAAGGTCAATGACTCGGTGGATTGGAATTTTCTATTAGAAGTGTTAAGAAAATGTGGGTTTGGGAATAGATGGTGCAAGTGGGTGAGTGGATGCATAACCTCTTGTCATTTTTCAGTTCTAGTTAATGGAGGGGTCAAGGATTTTTTCCCAGCATGTAGAGGGCTCAGGCAAGGAGACCCCCTTTCACCTTTATTGTTCACACTTGTGGTAGATGTGTTTAGTAGCATGATTTCTAAAGCAGGCAAGGAAGGGTTGGTAAGTGGATGGAGAATAGGCAGGAATAATGTCCCAGTGACTCATCTTCAGTTCGCTGACGATATTATCATTTTTTGCGAAGGGGGAGACTTAGGGAGAGTGAGAAACCTAACAAATCTTATTAAATCATTTGAGTCTGCTTTAAACCTGACAATTAACTTTGACAAAAGTTGTGTGGTTGGAATCAATTTGGAAGCTTGGGAGATAGAGGTTGTAGCAGGTTGTCTAGAGTGTTCTATGTTTGATTGGCCTTTAACCTACTTGGGTCTTCTGTTAGGAGCTAACCCAAAAGAAAGTTGGTTTTGGTATCCAATTGTGGAAAAGTTCGAAAAGAGGTTGCTTCTTGGAAGAAAAGTTACATTTCCTTAGGGGGTAGAGTGACCTTGATTAGGGCGACTCTTGCTAGTCTTCCAGTTTATTTTCTCTTGGTGTTTAGGGTACCTTCAAGGGAAGCTAAGAAACTAGAAAAGGTGATGAGGGACTTCTTGTGGGAAGCAGGGGAAGAGAAGAAGGATCATCTGATTAGGTGGGAGATAGTCAGCAGGAGTAAGGAAGAAGGGGGATTAGGATTAGGTAACCTAGTTCTTAAGAATGAAGCTCTTCTAGGGAAGTGGCTTTGGAGATGGTCGTTGGAGAGAGAGGTTGTGGCACAAGGTGGTGAAGAGTATTTGTGGCTGTTCACAAAACGATTGGGATCCTGGGGTATCTCAACAGGCGACTCTTGCAACACCTTGGAAGGCTATACACGGAATCCTTCCCCATTTTCTCAATCTGGTAAAGTATGATGTTAATTCTGGAAACAATGTTCTTTTTTGGGAAGACATTTTGGTAGGCAACCAACCTCTTAAAGACCATTTTCCCTCTATTTACTCTCTTTCCCTTTATAAGAAAGAGCCGGTTTCTAGTTTTATTTCCTCCCCAACTTCTTCTTCTTTGGCCTTAAACTGGGATTTTGGTTTCCGAAGAGGGTTACGTGATGATGAAAGTGCTTGTGTTTCAGAACTGTTGTCTTCACTTGAGTCTATTTGCTTAGATCCCCTCAAACCTGACACAAGAATTTGGACCCCCTAACCCGAAAGGCTTTTTCACTTCTTTTTTCAAGCCCCCTTGCTCCACTTCTGCACCCCAGAACTTCCCAGTTAAAGAATTCTGGATTAGACCCATCCCCCCAAAGATTGCTGTTTTCTGTTGGGAAGTTTTTTATGGTAAGATTAGTACCTTGGAAAACCTGCAAAAGAGGAGACCAAAATGGTGCTTATCCCCTAGTCGGTGTGTTTTATGTAAAACTCAGAATGAGGACTGTCACCACTTACTGATCTCTTGCTCCTTTACTGCAGCTTTATGTAATTGGATTTTTGTGTTGTTTGAGTGTAGGTGGAACCTTCCATCTGATACTAGCTTGCTGTTTAGTCCATCTACCTTTGTATGGCATACAAAGAGAGGGAGAATTATGTGGAAGTGCATAAGAGCAGCTTTGTTGTGGACTGTTTGGGAAGAAAGGAACACCAGTGTGCTCTTAATCAAGAAGCTTCTGTGGCTGAGTACTGTTGTGTGACAGGTGGGTCTTCAACTTGGACTTCCATTTCTAGGAGGGATTTATTTGACTGGGAATTAGAAGAGATTGGGGGCCTGATGGCTCTTCTTCAAAATCAGAGGATTAATCAGCAGTTGGAAGATAGCTGGAGATGGAAATGGAATTCGAATGGTGAATTCTCTGTTAAGTTCCTTGCCTCGAAATTGGGTAGTGTGGATGCTACTGATTTTCCTGCTTCTCAGATCTGGAATACAAGTCCTTCAAAAGTCAACTTTTTGGTTTGGATGATGGCCCTGGATAAATGTCTTTCCAGAGTTAATTTGGTGAGAAGGGGCATTCAGGTTATGGATCCTTTATGTAGTCTGTGTGGGCAACATGCTGAATCTACAGATCATCTATGCATTCATTGCCCTTTTTCTTCTCAGATCTGGGTACATTTTCTCAGAGCCTTGGTATTTAGTTGGGTAATGCCTAGATCGGTTAAGGATCTCCTCGATTGTTGGAAGGTGGGAGGCCTTAGTAAGAAAGGGAACCTGGTGTGGAGGACTATTCCAGTCGCTGTTTTATGGTCCATTTGGGCTGAGAGGAACAAAAGAATCTTCAATAAGAGAGGCAAAAGTCCTGAAGACACCATTCAAAGAGCTGTGGGCAAACTGATTTCTTGGATATCTGTATCTGAAGAATTTAAAAGTATGAACTTGTCTTCTTTTTATTGTTCTGAATTCTGGAGGAAAGTGTAACTGCTGTGGTTTTCAGACTGCCCTTCTGGGTCTGATCCCAGCTTATATGTTTTTGAGTTGAATAAAATTACTTTACCTTTTCCAGAAAAAGAATTTTTTGTGAGAAGGAAAGGAGATTTGCAGAAGTTAAAGAATGTATTTTGACAAGGACAATTCAGTGGCTAAAAACTCTAAATCTCTTTGATGCATACTCTTTCGATGACCTATGAGAAACCTGTGATTTAAAAGGCATGCCTCAGGCGTGCCTAGGCACACAGGCGAGGCACATTTCAGGGTATGCGCCTCGCCTAGGTCCTAGGCACAGCCCTTTCAAAAGGCGCACGCCTGGTGTGCCTAGGCGTATGCCTTTTGAAAATTTGGCGTTTTTTTTTTGCTTTTTTTTAACATAACGGCTGACCTCGAGGGGCGTGGCACAAAGGCGGCTCGTAGAATCCGGAATGTAATATTTTTTACATTACATTAGCTATGTGAAGTACTGCAATTGAGTGAAAAAAGAGATTAGAGGTTTTACATGCTTGAAAATGTTTTATATGTTTGATTTTATTTTTAAATTCTCATTTGAATATGCTTTACATCTTATGTTTATGTATTTTAATTTTAGGTAATAGGTTTTTTAAAATATTACTTTAAAATTTAACTTTATATTTTTTAGTAATATTATGTTTAATATTTTTTGAATTTTCGGACATTTTTTTAAATTTTTTAGCATTTTTTTTTGTATTTTTGCGCCTCGCACCTTGCGCCTCAGGCACAAATTGACCCCTGCGCCTTTTTTGCGCCTTGCACTTTTAAAACACTGTGAGAAACTGGTTAGCAGTGGCTAATATTTCTACCAGGAAGGACAGATATGTAGTTGAATGGATGCCACCTGGGGAAGAGTTTATTAAGCTGATCTTTGATGGGAGTAGCCGAGGTAACCCTGGACCTTCAGGTATAGGAGGAGTGCTGAGAAATAAAGACAGTAACATTATATCTTTGTATTCAGGTCCTGTGGGTGTGGGAGACTCTATAAGGGCCGAATCACTTGCTGCTGTGCAAGGAATCCAGATTGCAAACCAGATAGGAATAGAGCATCTGATTATTGAAGGGGACTCCCAAGTGATAGTGGGTTGGTTAGAGGATCTGAACTCTGTGATCTGGGGATTTAGAGATGTTCTCAAGAAGGTTAAATGGCTAACAAGGAATATGACAATCAGAGTTCAGTGGGTAGGCAGATAGAAAACTCAATGGCTGATTCACTTGCAAAACAGGGGGTTTCTCAGGCTACTTATTTTGGGCTTCTGTGTAATTTCTTTTAAACTTATAATTCTGTAACTAGTTTTAAAGGAAAGGTTGCACCTCGTGCCTTTCCTTGGGTGCCTTAACTCTTTTTTGCTGGTTTAATAAAATCTTACTCATTTATCAAAAAAAAAAAAAATCTCATGGATAGGAGAAAATGGGGATCCTTTCTTGATGATAGTCTCTCTCTCTCTCATGGATATGTATGTAAGTATGGGTGCTTCTAGAAAATTGCCCTATGTAATTTCAAGCTTCATGCAGGGCAAATTTACCAATACTGCCTCTTCTGGAGTTTCACATTGCCTGGTGGTGGTTGGGTGGCTGAACAAAGAAGATAGTGGTTTATGGAGTTATAGTAATTTGAATAGGAAATTCAGATAGCTGGTTCGGGAAATGGAAGTTAAAATCAGTTGGGTAAAAAGATCAGCTAATTCTTTTGCTGATGGGTTAGCTAAACAAGGGGTGGGCAGGGATGTCATGTTCTGGGCACAGATGTAATTTAATTTTCTTCTTTTTCTGTTTTCTCTTTCTCTCTTGTTTCCTCTCTTGGGGCTCATGATGTAGTTGGAAGATAAGAAAGTTTGTCTTCCTCTCTGTAATTTATTGTGATAATTAATGAATTATGTTATTGATAAAAAAAAACAGCCTCAGGAATACTTATACAGTTCTCAGAAATCATTAGCCCCTTTTGACCCAGGCCATCAAAGTTTAGTTTGATAAATTCTCAAATAACCTTTTCTGAGTCCCTTTAACTTCGATAGCAACTTATCTGTTGATTCAGTTGAGGTGATTTTCCAAGATTAGAAAATATCCATATGGATAATGAAGCTACTGGTCAGGTTTAAAGGACTTGGCTTTTGTTCTTCAGAATTTTTTTCATGTATGGCTCTAAAATGTACTCTTTTATGCCTTCCAGGTGGGACTTTCCAGAGACTCTTTATGATTTCTTATCTTGATGAGGAAATACTTGTAAGTTCTCTCTGAGCACAACTCCATGGATATCAATTTGCTACAATCTTTTATAAGTTTTTACTTTGTGCTAGGGTTGGGATGGGCTAATGACCTAATGTTCTGCTGCCATGGCTTGTCTAGTCTCAGCAAGTATGTAAGCACAGATAGAATGGGTAGAATGGGCTGGGCAACATCTCAAGGCCCTTTTGGACATCCCTGGCTGTATCTATATGTTATGTAATTATATTATTTTGTCTTTTAAGTATTTATTTTATTCATGTCATTCTCTGGTTTTACATTAAGGTCCAAGCTAGCTTAGCTGGAAAAGCCAGCAAGTTAATGTAATTCTAACTGACATGGAAACAAATCCTGCCTTAACCTCCTCCGCAAGTTTGCTTGGCAAAAAAGGAAATAAAAATTCTCTGGTTTTACATCACTTTGGTTCTCTTTTGAGCAAGTATGAGAAAAGATACTATTATACTACAATGGTACAATCATAATTGATAAAAGTTGGTGGCTCATTCCAGAAGGTGTCCAGCCAACCACCCTTTAGGGCCAAGCTAGGCCTAGGTCAGGCAATGTTGGTATACCCCATGTTATGACAATCCTGGCTCAACAAACACTACCTCTAATTGTGTACCTTAACTTGTCATCTGGATGGCATTACCATACTAATATGAAATTCTGTGCTGGGATTTTTTTATTTTTTATTTATTTCTTAAGAAATCCAAAGTTAATATAGTTTGGACCATCTAAAAGGACCTATATGACCTTTGGGATCTGGAAATGACCATTGCTTGCCTTTAACACGAGGAAAATCTACCATAATTTGTGGCTGATCTACATCCTGTACAAATGGCACATCTCATGACTCTTAGGCGGAGGATAACCCTATAAATGCACCCAACTTTATAGTTCTGTTATCAAATAATTTTTTTAAGACTGTTAGCTATTAAAGCATTTTTATCAGGTTTTCGTCATTAAATTATGTTACGTACAGATATGATGCGGCATGATATGGAAGTATGGAGCTTAGTGTAGAATTTAAATGTGTGTGCTCAAGAGATTGTGAACCCATTTTGAAGTACTTGAGTAAAGTAGCCCCAATATTTTATTTTGTTCATTGTGCAAAGTTTAAAATTTTAGATATGGCAAGATAGATGCTTTTGCAATGACCTATCCAGATCGTGACCTGACAATTGAATAAGCATAGTGTTTGAGTTCATGGACAGGATGTCTTACTCATCAGTTAAGAGTCCAGTCTGGTTTTTCTCCCATTATGGATTCCCATTGAAATTATGTGCGATCATCAATCTCTCTCTCTCTCTCAATTAAAGTGTAGTCTGTCTGTAGGAGTAGCAAAAATATTTTTGATGATTCTGCAAGGATATTTAATACTACTGAATGCTATTGTTGTTATTGGTTTATTACTGCTATATTGCAGATGTTCCCTAGTAACATTCTTTTATTGGATTACTACTGCTGTCATTGTTGCAGATAATTAGAGATACAACCGGAGCACCAGATGTTCTAACAAGGTTGGAGGGGCCTCCAGCTCCCATTACAGACTCCATCTCAGAGTACGAGAGCTGATTGCAGTAAATAAAATAATCAAGATTCCTCTTATTTGTATTACAACGGAATCTTCTCTTTACTTGAGTTTCAACTTTCAAGGTGTCCTTGTATCTCTTATCTATAAAATGTCGCTTGAGCCATTAATTCATGAGATGGTTTTGTTTATTGATTTCTTTTTCTATCTGAGTTTGCCGATCGGGAAGAACTCTTCATCGCCCAACAAGTCGGTGAGTTCATTCGTTAAACCCTGAAGTCAGAATCACCATTGATAAGTGTTAGTACATCTTTTCAGGCCAGTATTCGAGCTACTCTCTAACACCAGAGGGTCATGCTGACCTTTTGGTTTTTCATTTGTTTGTCAAGACGGAACTCATCAAGCATGAAAAATGCTGTAAGGCAGCGCAGACCCTCTTAATCTATATTTTATTTTTGTTGAGTGGGGCAAGATGTGCAGGATTTAGACTTTTGAGATGTGGAAAACAGCCAAATGGTACATTAAGGGTCGCATATCATGATATCAATTCATAGGGGTGAAAATGGACTGGTCATGATCCGATCAGAATCTCCGATCCTCTTTTTGTTGGATTCCGATATTCTGTGGGAATTTCAGATTGGATTAGATAATAGGATCCGATTAAAAATTGAATCAAATTTGGATCACCCCTATCTTTTTTTTTTTTTTTTGAAAAAGGATCACCCCTATCTAATCCAAAAGAAACTGATCCGATATATGTTATTTATTTATAAATATGCTTATATTGTATTTTGTAATTTTTATATTATTTATTTATTTTTATAAAAAAGACATGTGCATATATGATGAAAATACTTGAAAACTTGCATATTTTTTGTTTTCCTTTATATAAGTTGTAATGCTTTTTTTTTTCTTTTAATAATTCATAAAATTTTCAAAAATTAAATTGGGTCAGGTCAGATTTGGATATCCAATATCCTTGGCTCAGTTTGGAAGGAGTGCAAATGCAAATACATACAAAATAATACAAAATATAAGGTTTTGCACTTTGCATATTTGCATTTGTACTTTGTCCAAACGGAGCCTAATGGATTAGAATTGATGTTTATGAGATCCAAGATTTGTGTTATTGAATTGAATTCACATATACCCTGATAACACCCATTTGCATCCCTATCAATTTAGATCTATCCCTTGATAACACCCAAAGAGCCCATCTCGTTGAAGCCATGACATGCTGAGGGCTTCCAATTGCAGTCTTTTGGTTGGAGCTTTTTAAACTAAAAAGTCGATTTGTGGTTCCTTCCCCCTCAACAACTCAACTTGTTGGAGCCTTCTATGTTTTAACGCATCAAAAGTCCACTATCCCCCTCAAAAAAAAAAAAAAAAAAAAGCATCGAAAGTCAATTTCTGATTTCGTCCTCTCAACTTGTTGGCCCCCTCTTCACCTAAGAAAGTTGGCTAAATAATCCTCGTGAGAAGAAAATGAAAGAAAATAATCTCAAGTCCACCGTCCAAACTGAACCCTGACATCATATATTCTATTTTATGCAATACTTTGCTTTCAAGTCTGCGGCAATTCTATCTTACTAGGTGGTATAGAAATGCAAAGTCTGAGAGGCTAAAGTTTGGGATGCTTAAAAATAAATATTTATTTGAATAAGTACTTATTTTGGGTTAGGGCTACACCAATAAGAACTTATTTGTATTTGAAAAATAAGCGTGAAATAAGTGCTTATTATTCTGAGAATAATACTAATTTGAGAAGCCCAAATTTTAGTTTATTTTTATGTGATTATTCAACAAGTGATTATTTCCTTTCTGACCTATCTTGACTCACAATGTTATTTTGAAAATACCTATTCTATTCCTGTTTAAAATAAGTGCTTTTTCATCAAATGCTCATAATCATTTATTAGAATAAATACTTATTTTTGAATATTTATTTTTCAAATAAGCACTCCCAAACTTGGCCTGAGCACATTAACCTTTAATGTATTGCTCAGTTTTTTCATAAGAATGAGATATATCTGTCAAATTTGAATGGTATCAGCAGGTGTGAAATGGTGGACAGATGGTTATTGACTAAAAATATTTGGACTCAGTATCTATACTTTTAGTTGCTCAATACTGATTTTTTTCAGCATCAAGACTATCCATACTTTTAATAATTTCTCCTTTATTTTTTCATCAAACCAAACATGAGCTAATGGTAGAAGTATAGAATAGAACTTGGGTGGTGTAAAACAACATTATTTGATGGTGTGCCTCATCCTAAGTTGTGGTGTCATGGCTTGAGCACTTGGGGCCTGGTTCCCTATAACACAGATTAGTCTGGGGTCTAGAACTGGCCACTGAAACCAAAATTACCGGAATCCTCGATAGTTGAACTACTGGTTGGAATTAAATAATTCAAACTATTGAGGTCAACTGAAGCCAATGATTGGGCCTGAGAATAGCACGTTGATCAAAGTCAAACCGATCTGGATCCAGATGGGTATCCGGCCTGAGCTTTACAACCTTGAATTCAATTTCAAAATCTGAATCAATTAATCGGTTGGTCACTCTCAGCTATGAGCCTATGGGTAAGGACTAGACTCCATTCAATGGCTTTAAGGCCAAGTTTGAGAGTGCTTATTTCAAACAGAGGTAATAATAATATAGATATTTTCAAAATAACACGGTGAGTTAAGATAAGTCAGAAAGAAAATAAGCAATTATTGAATAAATACTTAAAAGTAAGTCCAAATTTTAGTTTTATTTCCCAAATGCCAATAAGTAATTATTGATGTGGCCCTGATTTAAAATAAATACTTATTCTCTCAAAAATTGTATAGAAAGCAGACACCATTGCATCCAACGTAACCCTTTTAAGTTTTCTGTGAATTAATGGCTGTGGGGCTCCCTTCAACTTGGTAGGTCGGTCAGATCCGCACGCAGTTTTGATTAGATAAAACTTGTAAATTGTGAATGCAGTTGACCTCATTTGTTTCTGTACCAAAGTCAATTTATTAAATATCAATCTTTCTTTACTTTTCCCCTTGTTTCTTGGGAAAAGATATGGGCACACCCATTTAATAAAGGGTCACACCCCTAATTATTGCCCAACATGTACATGTTTAAAAGACAAAACACAGTTCACAGTTGTATATCCAGATAGGATTAAAGCTATTCCTGTGATTACTAGAGAAAATCAACTGAAGATGAGGGTGAATGGGTTTGGGGTGCTGAAAACAAAGGAATATGCTATAATCAAATCAGCCTACAATATCTAATAAGAGGAAAATGGGGTGACAACCAAGGTTTTTAGATCTCATAGCAAATTATATTGGAAAGATTGGTGTCAACCTTGAATCAAAATGTTCTTATTGGCTTCTAGCTCAGAATAATTAAATTTCCCACCAGGGATAATTAAAAAAGGAATGCAAGTTCCTCAATCATTGTGAACTTCGTGGGACTAACGTTGAAAATGCAACACATTTGTTCACGGTGTCCATTCATATGTCAAGCTTGGTCGGTCTAGATCTGCCTTAAATTTGACAGCAAGAGATCCAATGGCTCAATTTGGGAAGAGCACAAACACAATTACTGGGTTTCTAAGCATTGCATTTACACATTTATACTCTTCCCAAACTGAGCCAAATTTGGAAGGAGTACAAATATAAATAAGTATAGTGCAAAACCCTGTATTTGGATTGTGTTGTGGCCTAGGATGGGTTGAGGGTAATAAGATAAATTCGTTTGTTTACTTTGAGAGGATTGTCCTCTATTTATATTTGAGGTTGCTTGGAGGTAGGTGGGTGCGGATGGTCAGGATGTGATCCTACCTTGAGGAGCATGGCCATTGGCCCTGCGTCGCGTGCCGGCTCCAGCTCTACGCGTGCCCGCATTGGGTCCTCCCTACACGCCACTATCTGCCATACACGTGCGTGCTATTGGTCCGGGCCAACATCATATTGTTTTATATGTATTGTACTCTTTCCAAACTGAGCCAAAAGGAACAAACATTGTTCTCTAAGCTGGAGAACTGTTCAGAGAGATCAGTATGGACAATGGAAAGGAGGAGGGTTCACCATCAGAATCGGAAGAGCTTGGCAAAAAGGATACCAGAAGATCATTGTCGAAACAGACTCCCTCCCCAAAACATCTTCAGGCGGATCCTGAAGATGTTATTCATATACAGAACTGTTATAGGGAAGCCAACTCTTGTGCCGACCTTCTAGTATTCAGGCATTGTACCAGGGGGAAGAAGTTGTAGTTGTAATGGCCGATAGTCTTGGTTGCTGTTATAGTAGGTGTTGTAGTTTATAGCTCTAATTTGTTTCTATTTGAAAAAGAAGGGTAGTGCCAAAATTAAGGGAATGTTCTTGTACTGTGGATATTCTATGAATTGCTTGGTTTTGATACACATGATACTTATCAGTTTTTTTTTTTTTTTTTGGTTCAGAGTATCGATATGTATATATCGAATCAGGTCGCTAAAATGCTAAATACAAGTATGTAAGGGGTTTTATTAGGATCTCTCTTAACACATAATCTGTCGTAGATGTTGAGCATGTTGATACTTTGAACCATGGCATTCTTTTAGAAGTATGACATACTTTGAAACACAAAATATTGCAATTTCTCTTCTACCCCAAAATCTCATAGATCAATCCACGCCATTGTAAATTGAATTATATATATATATATATATATATATATATATATTTTAGATAACATAACATAATGTAATGAATGAATGAAATATTTTAGTTAAAATTTGGGAGTGTGGTGGAGTTCAAACAATGTGATTTCAACCACACGACAATGAAGCCCAATAAATTCAAAAAAACCACACCTTACAGAGACTACACTACACTGACAACATTCCCTAAATCAGTCCTTAATTTTTCTACTTTTTCGCTTTTTTTTTTTGTTTTTGTTTTTATCTAAAAAGGAGTTATATTAAGAACTAATTAACACGAGGACTTTTTCTGTTTTTGTTTTGTTGTGTGGATGATTGAGACTATTCATGAAGGAACACCATTTTGGAATCAACCCTCCTTTTAGGGTGGGCACAAGCGCCAAATAAAGGGTCAGATAAGGCAACTGATTAATAAGGTCTTTCTCTTTCTGATTTCCACAAGGCGATGATTTGGACATGTGGAGACCCGTGGAACCCCTTATAAAGCTTATACCTAGGCCACCTTGTTAGAAGAAGTGATTTACTACACATTGAAGGTATTCCAGATGAATTGGAGACAAAATTATACACACCCGACTGAACACCTATCACAGTTGAATACACTAATGCTCATTGCGGGCCCCATCTGGGACCCAGCTATACTGAACACTGGTATGTTCAACCGTGATAGGTAGTTCAGCCGGGTGTATATGTTTTTGTCTCCAGCTAATCCACTCCCATTGGAGGGGTTGGAAGAGCTTGGGGTAAATAAAAAATTATGTGGGTAGTAGTATGAAATGATTTAAGTACTGCTGAGGGGAAATTTGGCTTTCCAGTGACATCACATCATTTGGCACTTCTGAATCGTTGCACAACACATTAGCACCACGTAAGCAATGACATGTCTTTGCCAAGTTGGTCGAGTTCACCTCAAAGCCATCTTGGATGCATCTCGCACACCTTGAGAGAGCTCCCAACACCACCTCGGCTAGGGTTGAGCCATACGTGCCTCGACAGAAGTAGACTGACAATCTCGTTAGGATCGGGCTAGGGACCTTGGCATGAGGGGCGACCTCCTGCTGAGGTCCCATCGACCTGACTGAGGTTCAGGTGGCAACTAGCCTCCGCTATGTGTGACTTATCATCTCCAAGTCCTCTGGGATCACATTGCCAGACCGATAGAGTTGGCTTCCGCATTGCCTGCTCCGGAAATAACTGGACAAGTTTTATTGCTTTATGTGGAAACCACCTTCGAGCTTGGTGAGCCGATAATCCATGTTCTCCCGGAGATCTCAGATGCGCTTCATGAGGCTCATGACTACCTGTGCCTATATAAAGGCACCCCCTACAACTAGAGGAGGTACACACGATTTTGCTCTTAGGCTCTAGCTCCCTCGCTTTTTAGCATTCGCAAGCACTCTTCGCTGACTTAAGCATCGGAGTGCCCACCTTAGATAAAGCACCCCAGGTATTTTGACTGTTCTCTTGTAGCTCGACCAACTGATCTCATTAACCTGACGTTCGAATTATCCTCCACTCCATTAGGGAACTACTAGATCGCACGCCATCAAGTATTGATAATTTAATAGTGGATATGACTTTAAATAAAAAGGATTGGTGAAATAGGATTCATGTAGTCGACCCCATATAGTTGGGATAAGGCATGGATGATGACGACCTAGGTCTAGTTCACTTTGCTAGAAATAACCACAACTTTTGATGCCACATACTAGCTGACATGGCAAATCAATTGTTCTCGTATATCTTACTCTGCTCTAGAATTTGCCACCTGAGAAAAGAGGATCATGATTAAACATGCGGACCCATTCTTGGCAGCCACATCAGATATGCTGCATACAACTATATGTGTATCATCATGATTCTAAATTTCTAAGCTACACTACTGTTTTATTTAACACCGTATCTGACCCTTTTTTTATGTATAAACTAACACATACACTTACTTAAAATAGTTAGTCAGCTCATTCATTGGTACAATTTCACCCATCTCTCTCAATGTGCAATATAGCTAATACATATAATATATTATGAATTAAGATAAGTTTTGATATATATTATATGTATGCATGCGTGTATGTGGTTTTTGTGGAGAGAAGGTAGGGGACATGTATTAATTAAAACATAAAGAGAGAGAGAGGCCTCTCTGAAATTTGAGTCCGAGATATGTTTGCATCAAGTTGAAATGTGGGAATCGACTTGTCCTATTGAAAAAAAAAATATTATTGGATAATAAAACGAGGCTTACAGGAAAGGTAAGCATATATATACTGGGAAAATATCTGTGTTCTTATTTTCTTTGCTACACAATAGTCATCTTGAAGAAAAATGGGGTTTCTTCATTAATGCTTGTTTTTTCAGATGTACAGTAAATGTGAGAGGGAGAGGGGTAGAGAAGGAGAAAGAGGCCCACATAAGGGAGAAAAAGATAAGAGCTACATCTAAAACTAAAACAACACTCATCTAGAAACAAACCAAACTTCAATCACAAAACAAACAAAAGGAAAAACTAAAATACAGGAGAAAGAAACAAAAGAGGATTTTTTTTTTCTTTTCTGGGAGAGGAGAGGGTTCAACATGTAACCCAAATTTGATGTAACAAAATGCAGAAGAATGTGGGTTCTATTGCTAAACAAAGAAACCAAATACAAAGTATATGCCTCTGAGCTTCTCCCATTAATATTTACAAGGTGGAGAGAGAATAAGGAGAAATGAGAGAGAATTCAGTCTAAACATCTAATGGAGAAGGAAAGAAAGAAAGAGCTAGAACATTAAAATCCCCAGATTATAATCCCCAACTAAACCCAATTCATTGAGATGAGAGAGAGAGAGAAACAATCTTTGTCTAAGAGAGAGGTGTTTCTCCAAACACATCCACGTTAGAGGAACTCAAAGGAAGGAAAGGAAATTCACCAACATCAAATCCCTTAAAAAAGCCATCGAAATCCAGTCCACCCAAGAAGTCAGCTGTGGGAATCTGGCATCTCCACATTTCTTCTTCCTGATCCTCCTCCTCCTTGATAGAACTCCCCCCATAACTGTAGCTCGAGTTCTGGCTCTCCTCCCGCAACTCCGTGGCCGCCTGCACCGGCTGATCTTGTTTTGCTTCCATGATCCTCGACTTGTTGTCCTTCCTGCTTTTCCGGTCGGTGGGTTTCCCGGTGAGTCTTTGCACGAGCTCCCGGAAGTTTGCAGCGTCGGTCTTTATGACCTCTGGTGCAAAGATGTGAATTATTCGAATCTTGGGCTTGAATTTTGATATTACGTGCGAGTCCCTGTGCATGGCTAGTGCCGGCGTCACAGCGTTGGGCTTACATGCTTGACGCTTCATCTTCTCTTCCATGTCTCCAATTCAAATTTCAGGCTCAGAGGGAGAGAGAGAGAGATGGGGTTGGAGGGGGAGTGTTTGGTGAGAATAAAAGGAGTCGGAAAGGTTTATATAGAAAGTGAATTAATATTAAAATAATCTCATTAGAAGACAAGAGTGAAACTTATACATGTATTATACATGCATACATGACATGGAGAGAGAGAGAGATGTGCCCTAATTAATATATCTGCTATTTTCTACCAAAAAAATATAAATATCTGATATTTGACTAATGACAATAATGCCCTTCATTTGGAAAGGGCCCCACTAACTACATTAGTTTTCACTTTTCAAAATCTCAGATGCTACCATCCATTGATCCAAATATACAAAAGTCTTCTTATATGAGACTGATGAAGGAATATTCTTGGGAGGGTAGAGGAGGAAAGAGACTTGTGATCAGGTTATAGTAGAAATCAGTTGCATCGAGATTTGAACTATTCAAGTTTCCCCTCTAGATTTGGTAATTAAATCAAAGTGTCAGGGTCATAAGCGTCACTATATTTCGTACTTACCTCAATCCTCGTAATTGGAAATTTAATAAACAAATATATCATAAGTTTGTAAAACGACAGCCCAGACATACATTTCCGCGTTTCCAGAGTAGAAAATATTATACAATTACAGCAAGGGGTTTAATCTCTCATGCATATATTTGATATTTTTCTAGTCGGGTCTCCTAGAGATGGATCATTGAAAGGGTGGGAGAAATCTATTTGCTTAGATGGAAATACCTCGGAACTCAAATGAGAAAGAGCTCCATTGTTTGCCACGTCACCGTTGTGTTCACAATTAACTCATTATTTTGCTTGGCAATACAACTGAGAATGTGTTTGGTGGGAAGAAAGCAATTTCTCAATTCTGCTTTCTCATCTTGTTGCATCGATCATAGCTGTTTGGCAAATCACTCTTGGAAACAAAATCACATTTGATAAATCGGTTCCTTGAAAGTCAAGAAGAATTCAGTCACTTGGGATTTTCTTGGTTGATAATTCTAATTCTTACATGGAAGTGATTCCCTAAAAATCAATTTTGCACGTTTTTATGGAGAAAATGGTAGGTTAGCATTAATACATTAATTCTCTAAATGCTTCAAAATCAGTGATTGATCCCTAGGGCCGCGTTTGTTTGAGGTGTAAAATTGAACCGGGGTACATTTTATATCTCGGTTCGATTTTGCAAGCATTTGGATAGAGTGAATATTTACACCGTAAAACGGTGTAAAACTCCATCTTAAAATATTTTTACACCGATAATTGATGTAGAGAATACATCGAAATTATCGATGTAAAACTTACCTGTTTCTACCATCGAAGTAAAATTCCTCCCAATCTAATGTTTCTCTTTTCCATTTCTCCAACTGCTCCATCTCAACCTCCACCATTCTCGTGGTTTCTCTCTTGTTGGCACTACTCTTAGATTTCTCTCACTTGGTGGTGGCAAGGTCGGCCTTCCCGAGGGCAGCCTTGGCCACATTGATAGCAGAAGCTTTATGCTTCTTTTTAGCATACAAGGTGAAGTGACGACAATCACTAAAATAAATCCCCTGACAACTATGGTTGTCGGAGAGGGTCCGAATGTAGTAGGCATGTTAGGTAAGCACAATGAGTGAGCACATAATAGCCGTGTGACACATGTCCCGGTTAATGCGTCTTTCATTCAAATGTTTTTGCTCCGTTAGACAGAAATTGTCTATTATTTTATTATCTTTATCAAAATAATTAAAAATAAAAACAATAAAAAAGGAAAACCTAAACATGTTGGGATTTGGGACTCATTTACGTTTTTCTTTTTCATTGTTTTTTATTTTTAATTATTTTGTGAAAGACAATAAAATAATGAATAATTTTTGATAAAAGACACATTAACTAGGACATGTGTCACACAACTATTACGTGCTCACTAATTATGCTTATCTAACATACCCACTACATCCGGACGGGTCGGAGAAAAGGGTAAAAGTGCACCGTGAGCCATACCTCCTGCTTGCTGCTCGAACAACCTCCTAAACGCCCCTGCCCTGGCAGCCTTCACATCCTCCCCGTCTTATCTTGTACGCCTCTGCCATTTTCTCCTATCTTCGTTCCACTACTCTCTCTCTCTCGTTCGGTGCTTTGTAGTAGAGCGAATTGTGAAGGGAAGCATCAAGAAAAGAGCCAGAGTCTATAGGCTACAGATTAGCAGACACATCAAGTGGTGAGCAATGATGCATCTACTACAAGCTACAGGTTGTAACAGGCTAAAGCTACAAACTACAGGTTAACCTATTCGAACCATATTTGGACAAATTCATTAGCCAGTAGCTCAAGAAGCTCAAGGCTGTAGTCCAAATTCAAATAACTTGGGAACCGTTGGATCAGGATTGTTGCATCATATAAGATTGTTGTGAAGTGCATATTGGTGTGTGGTTGGAAATTTACATGACGCTATTTCAAATTTGACAAAAAAATTCATCAAAATTTACATTGGTGTAAATATTTAAAAACAACAAGTTCCAATTTTCCTCTATTACTAAACCGGTTCATATTTTCTATTGGTATAAAATTGAATTTATAGGATTTTGAGAAATCAATTGTTTCTAACAAACAATTTCAAAGAATTTAGAGAAATCAAAACCTACTAATACTAAAAGGGAAGGAGTCATAATAAATACTTGGTGATGACATGGACCGGGCCGGTGAACACATGGTCAACCCGATAATAAAACGACCCGTTCAGAAAACCTTTTAAAAATCCAATTAGGGTATTTACCAAAAAACAAAGGGAGCCAATCAAGGTGATTTATCTTACTTCACCTGATAATAGCTAGAATTCATTTAAATTAAGAGCCACCTGCTGCAACCTTTCTATTTGTCTGCTTCATTTATCTTTTTCTCCACTCTTTAGTGTCGGTTGCAGTAGAATTTCCACTGGAGCTTTCCATCATACTCTCCAAAAAAATGGGCAAAACCCTAATTAATTAAGACAGTTAATTCAGTAATCAAAGGCTTCTCTTTTGGGCTAATTTTCCATGAAAAATGCTTCCAAATAAAAGCATTTTCATGTCTGAAAGTACTTCTCTTAACCCACTTAAAAGTAAACAAACTCTCTTTGTTTTTGTAGGGTGCGTAGAGATACCCTAATTAATTTAAACATTATTAATTCAGTAATCAAAGGCTTCTCTTTTGGGCTAAGGTGGCGTTTGGCAGATGTTTTCAATGCATTTTTGGTCTGTGGAGAGTTCAAAACCCAAGAAAAGATTTTGTTTTTTTTTTTTCATTTGGTATTGCATAGACTGAAAAACCGAAAGATAAGTACAAAGAAAGACCGAAAAATCCAAAAATCAATATGCTTCAGATGAAGTTTTTGGTCTTCTCGTGCTGGAAATAGTTTTTTTGACTATTTTTAACAGCCAGGTTGACCACAATGTGAACCAAACAATCTTGATCTTTAAAGACAATACCCCGAAAACTCGATGTATCTTTTTGTCTAATGGGCTGTTGAAAGATTTATTAAAAAAGATTTGTCAAACAGCCCCTAATTTTCCATAAAAATTGATTCCAAATAAAATCACTTCCACTTCTAAAAGTACTTTCCCTTTCCCACTTAAAAAAAAAAAAGTAAAACGAATTCTCTTCAGTTTTATCCCTAAATATACTTTTCAGGGTTAAGCTGGCTAAGATGTTGTACGGTGCGTAGAGATACGTGTACATCCGTGCGGCGTAACCGTCTGATGTGCACGTGGTGGGGACGTGCATATCAGATCGCGTTGCAGGAGAGATGTAAAAGTGGAGATTTGGATTACATAAGCGAACCGAAATCAGGTAAAGGGAAGCGCACGAGACTTGTGCCGGCCAGCGGCCACCTCTGACTGACAGAGAGATTCCACCTGACACGCGATGAGAGACGTGGCGAGCCGACCACCATTCGTTCACTTTCGAGGGAACCCACTATTTCTCCAGTTTCTTTATTTTCTCTCTCCCCGTTGACGCGTTGCCATTTGCTGAAGAAGTGAAGAGAGAGATCAGAGGTTGGTTGTTGGGCCTGGGCCGCACGAGACCCACACTGCTGCAAATCTCACGTCGTCTTAATCCTCACCGTACGGCCTACCCACTCACCCACCCACATGCTCATTGATTAAATTTAGACCTGGCAATTGGGTTGGGTGGGTCGGGTTCGGATTGGGTCAAGGTACTTTCGTTTGATTTCGGGTTGGGTTATCAAAACCCATGGGTCAATTCAGGTCATCCCAAAAAATAATTGAAATTAAAAAAAATAAAGAAAAATTATAAGAAAAATGTTAAAATTAAAAGAATTAACCTTAAAATTTCAAATATAAAATAAAAAGCTTGAACATTTAACAATTTAATGAGTAAACAATAAATAGAAAAATTAAAGAGTGGAAACTTCTAACAATGCATAAATAATCCCAATTATACTTGACAATCGGATCAGTGGGTTGACCCATGACCCAACCCAACCCAATTTTTTCAGGTTGGGTCGGGTCGAGTCATTTTCACATTCAGGTAGATAAATATGAGACTCTAACCCTGTTTTTTTTTTTTTTTTTTTGTTGGGTTGGGTCAACTTTTTGCTAGGTCTAATTAAATTAAATCAAGCTTTTTAATTCTTACTAGCGGGACCCGTGCGATGCATGGAATTTGTTAAGCGAAAACTAAATGACAGAAATGATCATTTACTAAAACACCCCTTATATTTTTATGGATTTACTAAAATTTACCCTATACTTTGTATTTTACTAAAACACCACTTATAATTTACTATGGATTTAATCAATCTTCCATTAGATGACAGTGGAAAATGATAGTGTTGACCCTGATGTTTATTTAAATAAATTTTATTAAAATAAAATAAAAATAAAAATACCATTTTTGCCCCTAAAAAGACATGGGCAACCACTCTATTGACTATATTTGGTCAATTTTGTTTTCTATACAAAAAGTGAAATGGGTATTTTTGGAATAAAAAATCATGGCCCTAATGGCAAAACAAACACTCCTTAATGAAGGTTGATTAAGTAAATAAGT